TTGCTTTCAGTCACTTCCAAAAAAAAAAAAAAACCAACCCCGAATTGAACTGCCTGCTGAAGGCTATTCTTTAGTCAGAGTCCATGCAAAATTGTATTAGAAGCTTTGAAGTTAAAACATGAACATTGACTACCAGAGAGGGCCCTAAAGACAAAGACATTTACTGAATGTAAATGTTCAGTGAAGACAAAGGTCACCTTATCCTTTCCCGAAATCTGGCCACGTTAGAAACTCCATATCCTGTTCTCAAGTTTTGCTTAAGAGCTGAAATCTTTTCATGGAAGGAATCAGCAATAAAATATTATTAACCCTGGTGATTGATTATGTTGTAATGGCCAAGTTATGATAACCTCACAGGCCATGGGACTGTAGAACCTCTGCTGTTAGGACAGAGGAGTCTGATTCATCACAAGACCAGAGCAGATGGGGAAGGAGCAGAAGAGCTGCCTGGCAGGCCAAGCCTCCAGTTTGCAGGAAATGGGATTTTATCTGAATCGGTGGCTTTGGTCCAAATCAAGCAGGAAACAAACTCTTTTGAAAATGCCCACAAACTGGAAATTCCCAGAAAGGTCACCTACGAAACATCAAAACACTTGCAAAACATAATTCCCAACTTCCCAGGCCTGCAGCTGATCAGGGACATAGTCCCTGGCAGTAGCAGCAGCATCTGTGAACGCTGGCTCCGCACAGGAGCTGTGTGAGCGCCCAAGACCCTCTGGCTCCAGCGCAGCCTTGATGCTGAGAGCTGCCCTGGGAAGCCTGCCCAAAGTCATAGCTCCACCTCAGGGAGTGCAGGAGCTCTGGCAGTCCCGCCTCAGCCAAGGCTCTTAGTGCTTCCAGACATGGAAGTTCAAGCTCCCAGGATTTTCTTGCTTTTAAGCTTTACAGCAGGTTGGAAGAGGGAGCCCAAGGCCACCGGCTGGAGTTTCAAGCCCCCAAACCCTGGACAGTCCTCGGTCCCACCAGACACCAGAGGCTGCATTTTCTGGGCTGACCTGCCAAGAAGTGCTCCGGGAACCAGGGGAGCTCAAAGTGACAAGAACTCACCGATTGGGATAGCTTCAATCAAAATATTTCAGGCCCAGCAGATGTGCTATTTCCAGCTAAACTTTGTTTTACCAATAAATCTCTATCTAGCATGGAATAGCAACAGAAAAACCAAAAGCCTTACTCTCCATTGCTTACCTTCATATAGAGTCATTTGTATTTATGAAAACACAGTACAAAAGAACACTTATTCAGACCAACTTTAAGATGTTGAGACAAGTGGCTGACACTATTATTTGCAGATAATAAGAATTCAGCAGCAATGCCTTCAGGTTTTTTTTCCCCCGCTGCTCCTTCCCACCTCTGTACCGCAAGGTACCTCCTCAGATCTCTTGGCAACTGTTCACAGGGTCGAGATGAAAAATTCTTGAACTTTTAGAATAAGCTAGAGTTTTTGTTTTCTGTAGAAAGGTAAATCAAGTCCTGAGAACAAGGCAAAGCAAAGACAAAGCCTGACCTCTATATTTGCACATCTGCTTCAGTTCACACTCCAAGTGAGATTTCTTATTAAAAACTTCAGGTAACTGATATGCATTTTGAAGAATGTGAAAGAACAACACCGTTTCCCAGGAACCACAGCAGGACAGTATGACACTTGCGTTTGGTTCTGTGGTGATGATTAAGGACTTCAGAGGAGGGTCAGTTGTTTTCTGAATCTCAAGTATATGATCTAGTGCCCTGAGATTCCCTTATTTATTTCTAACTCCTTTTAACAAATAGAGTTTAAATAAAGTTTTTCCTATATAAACCAACGCTTTTTTTTCTTGTTGAAGATGTTACTTACTTGGATTATATAAGCATATTTTAATCCAACACAGCAATTACTTCCTTTTCTGTATTTTACACTTAAGTGGCCATATGAAGGAAAAAAAAAAAAAAAGAATATATTACTATGGGGGTCTGAGTGGAAGGTGATGGTGTATGTCAGCTGGTCTGGTTTGTATGTCTTGAACTAGGCTTTTCTCCAGACTCCTTTTTCAGCAGCTTAACTGCTCTGACCACCCTTGTTCACAACAGTACATTTGAAATCAGGTCCCTACATTAATAAGCGAGACTTCATCACCCAGAGTTAGAAATTTAACCTAAATGAGTGTGTATCTTTTTGCTCCACTGCATTAGCTGTTCTGGCCCAAAGTGATTTGGAATGTAAGATCCCTTTCAAAGTACTGTCAACTGAAAACTCTTTTCTATTAGACGATCCCAACCAATTAATTGTATCATCGGCACCACTGGGTTTCTGGGGAAGGGGCTGCTGGCTCTTCGTTGTGGTTTCACACACGCTGCAGCCTGAGAAATCTCTGCTGCTCACCAGCCTCCGCTTGGGACACGAACTGCCTTCTGGATTGAGCTGGAAGTGAAGCAAAGGCAGGACAGAGGCATGTTGGACAAGGGCTAAGGCAAATAGGGAAGACGACAGATTTGCTGAGATTAATAAGGCAGGCAGTAGTGATTTCTTTGTCTTGATTAGCAAGATGTTAGCAAGTATAAAGCCGTATAGCAAAGTGTGTATAGAAGCTGCATAGACCCTCCCCTCAAATCACAGCTGAATGAAAACAGAGCAGCACGGCACGTAGGTCCAGGCTCCTCAGTGTCCCCATAAAATCAAAGCCACTGAAGCTGGGCAGTGCTGGGGTAGACTGTCACACCTCTCCGGTGCCTGAACACACAAAGGGGGAGCTCCCACCTCTCCATCCCCCACATGTACCAACAAAAGGTCAAATCCATTTGGTCTGAGTCATCCCTTACACCTCCCGGGCTTTTACACACATGAAGTGGCTGCAGCACACAGATAAAACACTATTAGGTAGCCCTGGCAGCTACTGACAACCAACCTGTACAGACTTTTCAGATTCTAAGAGGTACATGGATAGGGATGATCTAGGGCCATATTTATCTTCTATAATTTCTTCATTTTAAAATGATTTAGCATAGTCCCACAGAAAAAGGTCTATATTTATCCAAAGAATCTTAATGAGTTGGCTGAATTTCATTCAGAGATTTAGGCTAATGTCTCTCCTCTATCCTGTAAAAGTAGCAATTATGCACCTGGAAGAAAAGCTTTGTTTCCAGGGCCCCTTAAGTCTGTGCCAGTAAAGGTACCAGCTGCAGTTGGAGTTTACAAGAAAAGAAACATTAGAGCAACAACTCTACAGTTTCCAATCCAGGAACATAAACTAAATACTCTCCATACAAACATTTCACTGATAGATCTGTGGGAACAGGGAGATCATCTCCCTTACTACGAAAAAAAAAACCAACCAAAAAACAAAAACCAAAAAACAACCCACCAAAAAAAGTGTGACTCCAAACATATATTTTGAAAATACCAAAGAACGATGACATTTTTGCTCTGCCAGAAAAATGATCACATCTTGATTGAGTACTTTGCTTTCTCACTTCCTTTTCCAAGATGAAATGTCAACTATTTTAAGTAAAATTGGAATATTACTCAACCACAAATCAGAAAAGAACCTTGATGGCAGCACTGTCATCAAAAAGGCACATTCCAGTTACATACTTGCAGTTTTACTATTAAGAAAACAGATTAAACCCTTCCAAATGCTTTGCTGCTTAATGACACAATCACTAGCATGTTATTAAAGCTCAACACTCTGACACACCAGTCATTATATCTGCAAACACTAAGACATTATGCAATGAGAAAACAATTCTTTTGTTGAAACCAAGGACGTCTAATCATGACAGGTGAATGTTTTATCTACAGAGATGAAATCCATACACAAACTATTTTTGTGCAGGCTTCATGTTCCATTTACACTATTTGCTGGTTTAAAAGGGTTTAACAGTCAATCAAGAGTTCAAGTATGAAACTCCACAACAGGAGAAAATTATATCATGTTATTGAAGTCAGGTAGATAAACAATACCTTCTGATTATGATGGTATCATTATGTGCTTCACGATGAACAATAAGACAGAAAACATTCACCTGGTTTCATATTCAAAACATTTGCTGAGATTCATGTATAAATGGATGAATGAACAGAAGGGCAATTGTGTATTATTTTAATATAATAAAGTCAAATTTATTCAAATCAGTAAGGAAAAAAAGTGTTTCTTTATATCTTGCGTGGAGTTCTGCCTTACTGAATTTGTGTTTGTTTATGGTTCTGACAAGCTACAAAAATAGATATAAATACAGAGTCAACGCTAAATGTGTATCTCTATTCTTTTGCAAGCAAACTGTCACAATATTATGATCATTAAAAAGCTTTTGAAAACTAATAGCTAAGTGAAACACTAGACTTAATGACTTGAAATAAATATCTCGCAACAGAGCTGTTTAAGCCACTGTAAAAACAAACCTCTTAAACAGTAGAAGCACATATGCCAAACAAAGAACCTGTGTTCACTGAAATCTCTTGCAGTCTTGCCACCAACTTCAGTAAGAACTAGGCCAAAATAAAACATTCACTACTTTTGTATTTTCTTTTGGATTGAATCTTCCTTTATTTTCTTCCTATACCCAGCCGAAGATGGACTCCTCCTAGAGAAAATAAAAAGATGACAAAATAGTGAAGTGATGCAGTCCTTTAGAATAAAAAAGTCAGCTACAAAGTGCAACACAGATTCTATTCGGATTCTTCAGGTTTTACTTTATACCATCACAGAAGGATTTAACTCAATAAAAAGGCAAAATCTGCCCCCAAGACTTGGCATTGCACACAGTGCTTCCTGCTGAAGACAGAGATCTTCTGCTTCCCAAACATGACTGAAATATTGAAAAACATTTGAGCCCCATGTCAGTAACATACTGAAGTGTACAACCAGCACTTATTAATAAGATTTAAAAATACCTGTGCATCTTTTCAATATGATTACTTTGTTTTAGCATTTAACTTGCTTGGCAATTAATGGTCTACATACATACCCTGTCCAGGTAGGATGCCTCATTCTGTGAACTTTGGTTTATACCATTGCCTGTAGGAGAAAATTATGGGAAGGCACATTGTCATTTTCAGTCACACCAAATCTAATCTTAATTGCAGCATTCCAAGGATTAAATAGGCAGCCTTGGAACTCAAGTAGATTTTTGTTCTCTCAAAAAAACTATTTATAGAGGCAGTAAAATGCAGCATTAATTTTTTAGCTCTATTAATCTAGTAAAAAAAAAAGATAAAAATGAACCCAGTTTATTCAGATTTGTTGATCCATATCTAAATGTCTGCTAGAATTATTCCATTTACTTCTTGTTTAATGAAAAATTCAGATGAATAAGGGACTTATCTCCTTGATTTGATGTTGTGCAAAATCTGCTAATTAGAAAGAAGGTATTAGAATTGATGGGTTTCACCGAAATAGAGCTTAATAGTAGATTCTCAATTAAAGCTCCTGAAAAATGAGGTACAATTACAATTAAGGATAGAGTAAATTTTGGCAGGGTGAGAGGTTTATTTGGTTGGTTGCGTTTGTTGTTTGGGTTTTTTTTTTAAATCACTGGAAATTAAATATAAAGATAATGTTGTCCCCCCAGATGACAAAAAGAAATTAGTATCTGAAAAGGGAATGGGCCATGTCCATAAACTCACGCTTGACAAAGCAGCACGTTGCATTCCATACCAAACAGAGAAGCAGATGAGCAGCCATTTTGTTGAGATGGTAAATCTGCTTACACCTTTTGTATCAGCAGAAGTCTTGGCTTTTTTACAATAACTTGAATTTTGGAGGCCATCATATATTAAATATTTTTCCTTGTCTCTTGTTTACCTTTTTTTTAAAAGCAAGCAAACGAAAGTCCTGGAAGACTTGTTTTTTTCTTCAGTGACTGCTACATCCTACGTATACATTAATAGCTATGCACAGAAACGTCTGCAATGATCTAAGCTGCAGGAGAAAGTAGGTGGAAGCTGCTAGATCAAAACCTTTAGATTAGGTAAAGAAGCAGATGTTACAATGGCTTCTGCAACAGGTGTTAAAGAGAGGGAAAAGTCCTGTAAAAAGACAGGCACTCCCTGTGCCAAGCCTCTTCTGGCTCACGGGAAGGGATGAGCTGGGGAGCACCCAACCCTGTGCAATTTCACAGGTGCTCACTTACAGACACGTGAGTCAGATATAGTCTTACAGTTGCAAATAATTACTCTAATTACCGCCAACAAATGAGCAATAATATGGATGAACTATACACCATATAGATAGTATTCTAATTGATGACAAAGATAAGAGAATAAGGATTATCAGAGCCTGGAACCAGTTTCCACACGAGGAGAGATTTAGTAGGCTGGAACTTGTCAGCTTGAGAGAGAGAGAGAACTAAATGGAAATATGACAGAGGCCAATGGAGTCATGGTTGGCATAAAGAATATGAATAGCACATAATTAATACCCAGCATCTCGTAATAGCAAAAAGACTCAGGAATTGGTTTTAAAGCAAACAGAAGTGCTTTTCCACATAATGCAGAATATTTGCAGAATAATTGTTGAATATGGTGTTGCAGCATATTGTGGGATTTCTTATACCATGCCAATAACACCCGCTATAGCTTGCAGGGGACATCCATTGGGGTAGACAGATTTCTGTTTTGAATGAGAATTGCACTTCTTTTGTTGTCATGAAGAAAAATTTTGATGGAGTATTTTCCTGTTGTGTATGTGGAAATCTACTCAATATGCAACATACAACATTTAAAAAAAACAAGGTACTGGCAACAATGGACATACATTTTGATATATGCCCTAGTGTGGCTACATGTAGAAAACTTCCATCAGCACAAATGTAAGCTAAGCAGAAGTGCTGCAGGTGAATATACCATTTTTTAACTTGTCTGGTAATTCTTCATGGATTAGTTTATTCTTTTTCCTAAAATCTCATTAGATTGTGAGGCCAGAAATTCCAATTACATTTGTAAGCATACACTGCATTATCTTAAATTGTTCAGCAACTACAATGTCTCTAATTGAAGTTGTCTCAATGCAGAGCACCAGTTTTAATTCCCAAGTCATTTTCCATTAGTGAAATAGCTGTATTCAAGGCACAGTGTGAGAACATGTTCGATGCTTATGTTAAATTGTATTACAGCTACCTTTGGGTAGCATCTAATTTATTTATTGTCTGTATGAAACCAACCATTATTTTCCTATGTGAAAAAATAAATTATTATTCATACAAGTGCTGCTTAGACTGATTTGTGAATAATAGTTTACATATTTCATGTGTTCAGAAAAACTTGCAGGTGTTGATGTCTTTAATGTTAGACTGTAGCAAACAATTCTGCTATCCTTCCTCTACATTAATATATCTAAGACCCTCAATTAAACACAAGAGTTTTTCAAATATGGCTAGAAGTGTCTAAAGTATGCAATGAATTCCATAATTTTTGCACTGTAAAACCAAAAGAAACAGCTGAATGGACCTTAAACCCAGGCATCTTAAGTCAAAGCACTTGCACTAATAATTTGTTTTCTCTAGTAAAATAAAACATCAGTTCATTGCTTACCTTCTCCATTAACCTGGCTGCAAGTCAAGAGTCGACTTCTGAACTTTTCATTTTCTTCAAGCATTTTTGAAATTACTTTCCAAACCTTAAGCCAGACTTTGGACTGAAAGATAAAATTGGACTTCCTCAGTGGAGCATATAAAAAGTTTGCATTAAAAAACATCTACAGGGCAGAACTTTGAATTCTCCAGCTTTACTATGAAGTCCAACTGTTCTTTTGTTGAGGATTGGGAAGGGGGAGATATGGAGGAAGGATATATATGTGGGATATACTGCAAGAATCACCTCTATTTAATAGTCAAAGCCCATAAATTGCTCCATGATTTTCCACATGAGATATCTTGCCCAAAACTCTTGTTTATACAGGACTCGTGAAGTGCCCTTCTAGATAAGAAGAGCTTATGAAAATGTATGTAGAGTCATTAAACTCTCTTCAAAGTCATACAAAAAGGGGGGGAGATTTTCCTGACT